CTGTATACATGTGTCATTTATAAGAACTGATACATCTCCAAAGCCAGTGATTCCACCTGTGATTGCTCGGGGCACTTTGAGATCGGATTGGTCGCTGTGGGGAAATAAAAGTTCTTAGTACTAACAATCTAACACAAGACACTTCCATGAAACTGTTCTGTAAAGGTGCCCATATTTTTGCTCAATATGCCCAGCATGCACCAATGGCTTAGGGTGGTCATGTACCCCAAGGAATGGGACCATTTTGAGAATCCTTTAGTTACAACATGGCCATGAAGAGAACTGACAATGATGTGATCCCATGTGACCATAGGAAGTCATTGTCATGCAAAGAGTTTCCTAAAGTTTTCTGTATACACAAGAGGGGGCACCCAGATGATGGGAGCACAGTATAGATCAGGGATAGGCAACCTTACCTCAACACTTCAGCTTGCCTGAAACTACAAATCCCCTCATGGCTCTGCCTCTGGGAGTCATGCCTATAGGTGTCAGAGTTTTACAATGTCTCATGACGACATGAGCGTTCTGCTAGACAGACAGCACTTGATTTGTATACATTTCTAGCCACCGGCGGCCAGGATCTAACTGACACAAAGTGTTCAGAGCATTTCTGGGTTCACAACAATGTGGGGGGGATCAGGGAATGGATGCTCACCGATCCTCCCTCCACTATACCATCCTGAAATCTGGCCTCCTTAGTGCTAAACCTCAGCATTACTTTGGGGTACCATGGAAGAACTGTCACTCCAAGTAACGTTACTCCAAGTATTTGATTATATCTATTTAATGCACAATTGCTTACATTTTTTCATTTGCAGAGATTTTTCTTTCCATAAACTATGTTTTATTCACTTGCAATGCGCCTTTGAATTCGCTAGAAAATGTGACTACTCCAGGAGAATCAATTCCCTAGCACACCCCCTCCCTCATTCTACAACACAGTCCTCCCCTCTTCTAGGAACGTCTAAATTACTGTGTTTGCTGACCCAGCTCCTCCACCCCTCTCCGCAGAACCTTATAATGTAGGCTAGCTGGTGGAGGAATGAAGGGGACTACTATAGAGTGCCAGTCTAGTGACAGGGTCCCTTTTTCTCTTGAAGCCCAGAAATTGTGGGCACCCCAAACACTTACTATAAACACTCCCCAAAAAAACCTTCTACTGACTATTCCAGTAAAGGACATACCTGCAGCTTTTCTATGGCAAGCAATTGCCTCTTCATATTTCCCTGTTGCCAGAAGCCGGTCTGCTTTCCTGCTTTGTTGATGTGCCTGTAAGTAGAAGAACAGGATACTGAGATTAGCATTGCTGTGATGAATCATTGAGAAGCTGGAACGTCTCGCTGCATTATATTAATATAAACAATAACCCAAAGTGGACCAACAACAGGCGAGCGCTAACTTTATTACAATATCAAAACAATTGTAACAGCCATCTCAAGACGAGGTTCCAGGATAAAGCCAGCTCAGCAGAGAAACTCCCAATTCACATATTAAAAAAACCCTCAACTTCTAAAACTGTGACAGTACCGATAAACAGTCTTCTGATATCAGGTCACATGATCCCGCCGGTCTGCCATCAAGGCACATGATCCCACCGGTCTGCCATCTGGGCACATGATCCCACCGGTCTGCCATCTGGGCACATGATCCCACCGGCCTGCCATCTGGGCACATGATCCCACCGGCCTGCCACCTGGGCACATGATCCCACCGGCCTGCCACCTGGGCACATGATCCCACCGGCCTGCCATCTGGGCACATGATCCCACCGGCCTGCCATCTGGGCACATGATCCCACCGGCCTGCCACCTGGGCACATGATCCCACCGGCCTGCCATCTGGGCACATGATCCCACCGGCCTGCCATCTGGGCACATGATCCCACCGGCCTGCTTCTTTTTTCTAAAGATGCAGCCTAGAAGGAACCATCACTCCAGAGGCTCTAGTTGGTAACATGCGATATAGCCACATAGAAGAGATTTGCACTACAAAACCATTAATGGCCGTGACACAGGAGGTATTCAGATGTCACCCTGCCACTGCGGGCAAAGGGAGAGGCACTGATTTCATCGGAGGGTTCTGACCCTAAACTATGGTGGTACGGTGAGTGGAAGAGTAGTTTCCATTTTATTGCTGTGCCACCATTACAGCCCAAAGGAACTGGTAACCGGAACTTTAGGATATTAAGAGTGCAGGTTACAGAGCAATAATGTAAAAGGTAAAGCACACTGATAAGGAGTAAGACGTGTTACAGGTGATGGCTAGACACATGGTCATATGATTTTAGGATGAGATTTCCCCCCTTCCAGAAGAACCTCACATATTCTCTACATTGTTTATTCCATTTCTCCATTCCAGTACGACTCTTCAAGGAGTTAATATTTAGAGATTTGGCCATTTTAAGACCATGTCAGGATGAAATTCAACAACCAGCTGATCAGTAAGCATAAAAACTTGCATCTGGTGGTGATTAGGAGTTGTCACAGGAAGCCCGCGTATCATAGCTCCTACGGCCCACCGACAAACAGATTTATTAGACTATTCCAGAACACTCTATGAATTGGCTAACACCAAAACGATGAAAACTCCCCCAGCAGAACCTTAGTGACATAATCATGGTGCTGGCTTGGAGGAAGAAACATGAACATTAAAGCACTCCTTCACCCCCTTTCCTTAAAAATCACCTCTGCATGCCGATATCAAATCATCTTACATTCATTAAGCAAACATTTTTCTTTTACTTACAATGATTGTTTCTCCACTTCCTGGTCCTCCTGGGCATTAGTGATGTAATCGTGCCCCAGCGTTGCATGGGGAAGGTTACATCAGCAGAGCATTGCTGGGAAATCTCATGAGATCTCAGGGAAAGGCATTTTCCTCCCGAGACGATGTGCATGGTCACATGTCCTAGTCACATGTGCCAGAGTTACAAGAAGTAAAAGGAGATATATTGATCTGCCCTTAGTAAAAATGGCCAGTGTGAGAAGATTGGGGGAGGAAAAGAGAAATAAGGTATGCAACAAATACAAAGCCGGCAATAATCTGGAAGTATGTGTTTGTAGATTGTCATTACTAAACATTTCTAAAGGTGTGTTTGTTGTCATTTCAAAGATATGGATAACGTTCCTCTTTAGGACCTTCAGGTCATACACTGCATGCCTAAAGTGCGAGAGGGGGTAACCTTTACTGATTTTTTTTTCTAATGAAAAAAGGGAAAGCTCTCAGTGCCAACCAAACATGACCAGACCTCAGAAGCTCAAACATCCAATCTACAAGATTGTAAGATAGTGGGTATGATTTACTAAAGGAGTAGAAGCGGTTCACTTAGGAAAGTGTATATTCACTTTCCAAAGTGAATGAGGATATAGAACAGGGGTAGGCTACCTCAACACTTCAGCTGTTGTGGAACTACAAGTCCCACGAGGCTCCAAAGTACGCCCCTTCCTCACCAATGAAACCGCAAAATTGCTCATACACTCTTGTTATCTCTCGTCTTGACAACTGTAACTCCCTCCTCATTGGCCTTCCACTACACAGGATATCCCCCCTTCAGTCTATCATGAATGCTGCTGCTAGACTCATTCACTTGACCAACCGCTCAGTGTCTGCAACAACCCTCTGCCAATCCTTGCACTGGCTTCTAATCGCCCAAAGGATACAATTCTAAATATTAACATTCACTTATAAAGCCATCCACAACTCCGCCCCCGGCTACATCTCAAAATATCACCCTAACCGTCCACTCCGCTCTTCCCTAGACCTCCTGCTTTCCAGCTCCCTTGTCCACTCCTCCCATACACGCCTCCAGGACTTCTCTAGAGTCTCTCCCCTCCTCTGGAACTCTTTACCCCAACATGTCCGTCTATCTCCCACCCTGACTGTCTTTGGGCGTTCCCTAAAGACTCATCTCTTCAGGGAAGCCTATCACACCTCAACCTAACCACTGAACCATCACATTCTCAAATAATTCATCCTCACACAGCTCCCTCCTCATGTATCACTTGCCCCTCCATTTTAGATTGTAAACCCTCAGGGCCCTTCTTCCCATCTTGTCTTGAATTGTATTGTGATTGTAATGTCTTCCTTATATTGTAAAGCGCTGCGCAAACTGTTGGCGCTATATAAATACTATGTAATAATAATAATGAGGCAATGCAAGGCTGACAGGTACATACGTGACTCACAGAGGCAGAGGCAAGATGGGATATAGCATTTCACCACAGCTGGAGTGCTGAGGCTGCCTACTCTTGGCATGGAAGGTTAAAAAGGAGAACTATGAGGTAAGTGCTTTTCACTCACCTCATAGTTCTAGTAGATCGGGAGGTGAGCGAACACATACCGGCGTTCGCTCACCTCTCGATCCTGTCACAGCTCTCTGCCGTGACAGGGGAGGGGCTGGATTCCCCCCTCCCCGCTTCAATCCGCCAGCGCTGACTGGTGGATCGGACGGGGGAGGGGGCGGGTACAGCTGGCTCTGCCTCTAGATAGGCAGAGCCAGCTGTCAGTCACGCAGCTGGGTGGATCCCGGCACAATTGTCGGGATCCGCTTCAGCGTCTCAGTATGCTGCTCGTGGTATACTGCGGCGTCTCAGTATACCGCGAGCTGTAGCCTAGGGTGACGGGAGGACGCTAGTTTGTGTCCTCCCGTTACCCTAAGGAGAACTATGGGGAAAAGGCTTAACCCCATAGTTCTCCTTTAAACTGTAATTACTTTAAATTTCCAATCAGGTCCGAGGGGAATGAATACCGAAATACAAGATTTTTGATAGCACAAGTCTAATTGATTGAAGTAGACTTTGCTTCATCTTATTTCCTAGCTCAGTGAACAGTCTCTAGCCCTTTACTAAACCAACCCGTGTTCCTGAACAGATGACAGAAAAGGGATTGCGAAAAAGTCAATGGCCTGTCTGGCACTATGACCTGACTGGGAAAATCAGAGGAAAGTTATGAGAATATGTGATTTCATCCCACATACAGGACCACCTAGTGCCTCCGGTTGTTATGTCATACTGATGAGTGATGGCAGTGACTAGCACACAATGATTATAGTATGGCTTTCCTCCAGCAAAAAGCATGACACCAGGACAATATGACAGAAGCCCGGGGTGTACGTAAATGATTAACCCTACCTAGCAGAATCAAAACAAGTGAGGAACAGCAAAGGAATGTCCTGCGCTGAGAACATACACTACGTCATCAGCTGGGAAGTACAGGTGCTAGGACTCGCACAGCTTCCCGACCAGAACAAGACATTTTTATCAATTTCAATGATGGACTGCACATTGTAGGGCACACAGATCACCCCCCTGGGTCTACTTTCTTTCTAAAGCCAACCTGACAGATTTCTCAAGTCCAGTTAGCAAATGCCTCAAACCCTGAGGTCGAAGAGCTGAACCCAAGCTAAAACAAATAATGTCTAAATACAACAGTCGTGTGTATTTTTACTGGAATCTTGGTGTGCTTTGTGTATTCATTCCAGATCTGTGCAGTAATCCAGCACAAAGCAACCGTTGCTTTTGCAGGCGTTTCCTGTAATAAAGACCAGTCACTGCTGCTCTCTCTCCTTGTGCGGGATGGCTGGTCTTGTATCCGCCCCCTCCTGAGCACTTGTAGTGGGTGGAGCTGCTGGGCCCCTTCCACAGCTCTGCATGGGCTATGTGCAGCACAGTGGGCCAATCTCAGGCACATTCAGTACTGATAAAAATATGGAATTATTAGGGAATTCAGGAGCTAGCAGGGTTTTTTTTTTTAGGAGCCAAATCCATTGACAGCTAGAGTAAACCTCAAAATTGGGCTCAAGCTCCAATTTTTAAAGAGCATTGGCTATGTGGCTCCTGGCATTCGTTTAGCCCTGAGCTAATTGCAGAGCAAAAATAGGATTTTTGAACTCACCCTAAAATCCTTTTCTTGGAATCCACTGAGGGACACAAAGTCTTAAACCTTTGGGTTATGCTGCCGCCTTCATGGCGGATTGTACACTAACAAACAAAAATACTGTAGGTCAGCCTTGGGTAAAACCCTTCCTACTTCAAGTATGTTTCAGTTTTGTTGCAAATCAGTACCAAGAGCATTATCAGGGGTGAGACCAGTGTCCCTCAATGGACTCCAAGAATGGCAAAATGCCCAAGAGACACTTACTACCCTAGTGGAGTGAACCTTACCTTAAAATGGGGGAACCCGATCCTTAAGACCATGAGCCTAAACCACCTAGATACCCTGTTTGCCCGAAAATAAGACCTACACCAAAAATAAGACCTAGTACTATTTTTGGGAATTGCTCAAATATAAGACCTACCCCGAAAATAAGACCTAGCTGTGACCATTCCCAGGGCAGGTGGGGGGGAACTAGAAGAGCCGCGGGAGAGAATCAGCGGTGCCAACGAAGTCAGCGCTAGAGGAAGCGAGGCGGCACCGGAGGGAGCAGAGCCGCAGAAGCCGATGTTTACTCTATAGTGCCGGCTCCTGTCACAGGTGGAGTGATACCAAATGCACTCCGCCTGTGAGGAATCCATAGTGAAAGTGCGCTTCGCTCATTCTGGCCAGCAATTGGTTAGCAAATTTCTCTTGGAAAGGTACAGCACCCCTGATTGCCCTGATAATATTTTTGTACATGAATACATGTAGACTGTTAGATTGTTGTACATAAATAAGTGTGGATTGTTGTACATAAAAAAAAAAAATAAGACCTACCCCGGAAATAAGACCTAGTGTGTTTTTTTGAGCCAAAATAAATATAAAAGACAGTGTCTTATTTTCGTGGAAACACGGTATGGTGGAACAAGAAGCCCGGGCACACTTCCTGGGACCATTCAAGATTACAAAAATGAAATCAAATTTCCTGAAGGTCACAACCTTCGACCTCATCTGGAGTATGCGGTCCAGTTCTGGTCACCAGTACTAAGAAAGGATGTTCTTGAGCTGGAAAAAGTCCAGCGGAGGGCAACCAAACTAATTAGGGGTATGGAGGACCAGAGCTACGAGACAAGGCTACTAAATTTAAACATGTTCACATTGGAGGTGAGGAGATTAAGGGGGGATATGATTTCCATGAACAAAATGTTCAATGGTGGTAGCAACATTAGCGATAAACGGTTTAAAACTCCATTACAAAAACTAGAGGCCACCAACTAAAATTGGTGGAAAAAAAATTCCAGCACAAGGGGTGAAGGGGGTTCTTCACAGTAAGATCAGTTAGGGTCTGGAACTCACTGCCACTGACAGTGATTTCAGCAAAGAATGTGGAATTGTTCAAGAAACTTTTGGACGATTTCTTAAGGGTCCGTCATATACAGGGGTACAGGTACTCCTAGAATGAGATCCTAATAGGTTGGACTTGATGGACTAATGTCTTTATTCAACCTCAAATACTATGTAACAACAGCTGTATGAGACTCACATAGCCCAAACCAAAAAGGACAAAGAAAATACCTCAAAAGGAGGCTACCATCAGCCCTAAGATCCTCATACACAAGGGGAGGATCAGTTTACTTCTGGATTGAAGAACATGGGCTTGAGACCTAAGAGTGATTTTTTTTCTCCTCTGGAAGGACCTCTGGCCCAGGACTAGACCCCAATACTGCAAGCAATGAGTTGGAGCCAGTGACTTTCCTCAAATACCTTGCAGATAAATCACTTCTTACAAGAGAGTTCTGCAGGCCAGCACGTTAGCCAAAAGAGCCATGCACATAAGTATTGACAAGATACTTATTGCCATAAATAAGCCAGGAGTCCTCCAACAGGCCAATAAAGCTAAAAGTTCAATTCCTCAGATGTCTTTTCCACATGCTCAACAATCTGAGGGTCAGTGGCAACAGTGGTTAGACCCCTTTTAAGGCATTCTAACCAATCAAGACATGGTCTGGCAAAGCCAAAATTGGGTGCAAGGTAAGACCCACCAAAAAGCACATAGTTCTGGAAAGGGCCTCGAGATGCTTATTGGTTGTGTCCCTAAAGGCAAGAGCATCCTCCATAGGAATGGTAGTTGCCTTGTTAGAACAAGACATAGCCAGATCCACAGTAGGAAGTGAACGCTTTTGAACAAAATCTTCAGTAAGCAGATAGAGAGACAGCAAGCGCTTAGGGGGAGCAAATAGCCTAACCCAAATATATAGAATTAGACATCTTGTAGCCAGTGTGGTAAGCAACATGCAGGCTCAAGGTCAGAGGCAGGACCTTGAATGCTCACGAAGCCTGGACACCTGCAAGCAGGTGAAAACTCACAGCCAGAGGGTCAGGCAGCTGAGGGTGACAGCAGCAGAAGCGTGAAGATGCTTCCCGGCCGTTGTGTGACAGGAAAGCGAGCGAGAAGCAAGTACACAACACTCCAACCCAGCAGAGTGACGTCAGTGTTCGGTCACACAGTGTTAACCCCTTCCACAGCAAAGCTGGTGGGAAACGGGGAAGAATGGTGCTCAGTGACGAATAAAAATGAGAGAACTCCCAGTGCCCAGCCCAAATGGTCTACTTAATAAGCGAGTCTTCAGATATATGACAAGAGCAGAGGCGATATCCGCGGCTCTGGATGCAGAAAGTACTCTACAGCTAACTTAACCAGAACCAATCTGGAAAGCAGCAATGTAGAGCTCAGTCTCCAAAGGCCATTTTAAGGCTCAACCCGCAAAATCCAGCCCAGTGGGGTCTGCATGCGGTACGGTCCATAGGCTTGGGTGAGGAGGACCGTGCCAGCTGCAATGTAGAAGATTCTTGCCTGTAGAAGACAGTCTTTTAAACAGCAACGCTGAAACAAAGACTTTCGTCCTCCTAGGTCACCAACAAAAACCGGAAGCATGCTGCTAAGCGGAATGTGCTATACCCTGGCCTGGCCTACAGTTCTATTGTTTGCCAGTGTCCAATCCTTCTGTAGGTGGCAGTATAACTTTTAAAGCTGAACTCCAGGGAAAGGGTTAAATTTTGTTTATGCCTAGGTACCCCCACACCCCTATTATGTGCTTTATCCCTCGCTCCCCCAGCAGCCATTCAACTCTGCTCCGCGACGCTCTGGGTTGTTGGGAAGTCCCTCAGTATCCTCACCTACAACTGTCCCTACATTGTACTTGATGATGTCGGAGTGCCTGATGTTAAAGTACAGAAATGTTTGATTTCGCTTTACTCGTGTGGTTGTACATCTTCAAAATCATCTATGTGAATGGTATGCCATCCATGCTTTGTGGAGGAGTGGTTGGGGAGTCATTAGAAATGTATTTGATACCCACCCAAAATGCATGTACTGTGCATATTACTATGAATCCAGCCTTACTCCATGACAAGCAAAACATCGGCCTGGTCACTGAGCACATTCTCATCCACATTTCTTATTTTAATCTTTATCACAACTTGAGGTCTCCACCTTTCCGATCTGCTTTCCTTTCTCAAGCATTTATAACAGAACCATTTTTTATTATTTATGTATGGACACCTCTAAAGTGACTATGTGGTCCCACAACCAGCCCACTAACAAAACAACAACAAAAAAAAAGGTACAAAATATAAGATTTCGGTGACCACTGCCACATAAATCTCTTCACTAGTTTTGTTGTCAGCCATGCACAAGCTTCCACTGCTCCATTGCAGTTTGCATTTGTTAGGTACCTGGCCTGAGTCTAAAAAGTTCCTTTATTGCCCTTAGCAACCAGATCCTTCCTTTCCAACCTGGCCTAGAAGGCAGACAATGGAGAATGAGTATAGGGAAAGTCGGAGCCCCATAGACTATAGAGTTGGTATGGTGCAGGAAACAGGAGCCAGTTAGATGAGATCAAGGCACATGTTGGTCTGTAATAGAAGCAAATGAGCAATTAGCACCCGCAGAGAAATGTCTTCATTTATCAGTTTGTAGACTGTAAATGAAGCGTGCGTACAGTTCAACATGGGGCATTAAAGGGCTAAAGCTTTCCTTCGTGCTTCTCCGTATTATTATACACTGAACTTCAAGAAGTGTTTGAAGGGCTTGGACGCTTGTGTATACTTAAACCTAATAGTGAGCACAGCAAGAAGATGGCAAAGTGACATCAAGTGGCTTTAGGATCAGCAACCACCTCATAGAGCTGATCCAAGTAGGTTTACTACCATGCAGAGTCCCCCAGAGACCCAGGCCGCTTTGTTATGCAATCGGCTTCTGTGCTGACTTACACTATTCTCTACTCTTCTGGCATCATCCCACTTCCCAGTAACTTGTGCTTGGCTTTCCTGGCTCTCCAGCAACTCCTTTCCGCCATCAGTGCCAGGTAAAGAAAGACCCGACTTGTCAGAGCTTATAAAAAGGTCTGTGGACTTCCTCCTCTGTGCCAGTGCCGTCCCATGAGGCCATCTGTTACATGAGAGTGACTCACATGCTCACCTAGCCCTGAAGGGCCGGATATTTCACCTTGCTCCTCTGACACTACATTCCGGTATTGGAAGTGAATGAAAGGTCAAAGGTGAGTATATACAGCTGTGAAGGGGCAAGTCAAAGCAGAACTAAACCCCGATATACTTACCTCTCCTCCAGCATTGCCGCTGCACATCTTTATCATCTTCCAGGTTTAGGCGGTGGGAGCTTCCTTACCACAGCTACATCTTTGCCTTCTTCTCGGTTTGGGCATTGTAGGCTGTGGCACGGGAACTCATATCATCATCTTCCAGGCTTGGCACCTTTATTGTCTAGTCCAGGCTGACAGAACTCCTGCACATGCACACAGGGATTGATCCTTGATCACTCCTTCCCCTCTGCAGCTCACTGTGTACTATCCGTACTGTGTACACGGGATTGCAGCCCTGCGGTATGTATCCTGTACATGTATAGAGTATGGATAGTACTGCGGAGGGGAAGGAGTGATCGTGGACAGACAAGAGCTGGGGGGATGGAAAGTGGATCCACCCTTTATCAAAGCTAACTTACCTCTTTAATACACAAAGAGCAGAAGAAGTGAGACGGTAAGTACATGTAAATCCACATTATATGACATCGTGTAGGGAAGGGTTAAAACTGCTGCCGTGGTTCTTTGCCATCTGTGTCTCATTAGGGAGATTTCACTTCCGGTCTCGTGTAGACTCACCAGGAAGAGAGAGGATGTCCTTCAAATGCGATGGAAATCACAGGAACAAGGGTCCCCATAGGAAGATTTCCCCTCTCATCCTGTTCTGGTGACAACTTAGTATCGCGGATTTCCCCTCACTTTCATTCCCGGTGACACTGGCGATTGGGACAATTAGAGGGTGAATCTCCCTATCAGGGACAAAGATAATAACGACACCCTGGCAGATGTTCTAACCCCTCTATCTAGTTACACTTTAACCCTTTTCTTCACAGGTTGGACTTTGTAAAAACTTTTCACCATGTAGTAACAGAGTATCTTTAACCCCTGCAACTAAAACCCTCATCCTACCCCAAGACCAAACAGAGCTTTTTCACCTGCACTCACCTCTGACTCACCACCCTCCTGCAATACATTTCCGATGGGAACCTTTATGGACTGACAGGGAACCAATCACCGGTGACACCTGAAAGGGGCGGCGCTACATACGGGGGTCGGGCGGATCGGTTGTCGTGGATACAGCGGCGGCGTCCTGAGCTATAAGCTGTGCTGGTCGCCAGGCGGCGCTGTGTACATTCAGCTTCATCAGATGTACATGATGCATGTCATTTAGTGTTCAGTGTTCCTTTACAGGTTCAATCAAGATATTGTTAGTATTGGGAATTTATCTTTAATTTTAGGATTTAGAAAGTAGAACTATAAGAAAAAAAATGTGTGAGAATATATATATTTATTAGGGATACACCGATACTATGTTTTACAGACTGAGTATGAATACAGATACTTTCCCTGAAGCATTCGCCTATACCTATTACCAATAATATTGTTATGTGAGTTTTTTTTTTTTTAAACAATACAGACTAATGATTTTAGGATAGTGGTGGAATGCCAGGGCCCTATCACAACTGCAACCCAATTCCGACACCAAGCTGTAGTGGAACTACAAATCCCAGCAATACATTATACAGCAATGCAGAAAGGCTCCGGCTATAGAGGACTACAAATCCCAGCAATACATTATACAGCAATGCAGAAAGGCT